CCTGCTCCTGAAGGACAGAGGACTGAGCGTGTGTGTGTGTATGTTTGTTGGAGGTGTAGGGCTGTAACCACAGGGCGGGACATCCAGGAGGAGTGTTTACAAATGTGCACAAAGTCAACAGCAGATTAAAGACTTAACCCTGTGAATACTCAGGTCTGAGCTTTCGCTCTCGGACCGAAGTCCCCCAGGCCTGCTGGGACTTCTCTGAACACTTCCAGGGTTTTCTCCTACTTGTGAAAATATATTTAGACTGCAGACAGCCTAAATATATAGTTATCAGATCAGCGTCATGAAAATCGCTTCTGGTTTAGCTTTAAAGATCCAGTTTGAGCAGTCAACCGTATTATCCAGTCAGATGTTCCTGATCAGAAAGGTCTCCTCATGTCCTATTCATTAACCAGCAGCTAATAAAATCATACTCCTCCTCTCTGCTGCTGTGAAGAAGAAGTGTGAATTAAAGGATACATCTTGTGAAAATGACTTGTGGAAATAGAAATCTTGCAACATTTACAAAACATTACAATACAGACTGGCAGAGACACCTGCCTAGAGAACTGCAGTGGTTTCTGTAAAGTGTTTTGCCCACATATTCTGAGTAAAGCCATCACTGGATGCCCAGACTGCAGGAGCCTCGTCACATGATGCCCCTCATGTGAGAATCTGCTGTTTTTCTGCTCAGCTGGGCAGACACAGCATGATGCCAGGATTCAGAGACCTCGGCACCTCAGTACACGATGCTGCCCAGGCAGCAAAAAGGATCTGTACGTTTACAGTACAAACCGTAGAACTAGCCGGTCATCCTCTACAGACCAAACACGCAGCACTCGGTCTACACGTATGGGTCAGACGTTGCTCCAGACTTCTGCTGATGTCATTTAGACAATCTGAAAAAGCCTTTGTCGTTATTCAGGTACCAATAACCTGATCAGTTCTAATCAGGAGTTCCTCCCGCCCTGCTGGTTTCACTAACATGATGATGTTCTACACATTCCCCATTCGAGATTGAAAACCAGAACTTAAAAGATGGCTTAACAAAGAACTCCACACAGGCTAAAAAGACAAGGTAGCTTGTGCTTCAACAGATCAGATCATAATTTCTATGCTACATATCTACTTGCTCAGTTAGTGGAGGGGTGGGGTAAAAATGACTTACTTGGACAAACATACACTCCAACTCCCGGTTCATCTCGTCTCCTTATCGAGCCTCTAGCTCATGCTGAAGTCTAGGTTTTCTGGGTGCCTCCTTCCACGCTCCACAAGACCAGGCACTAACTGATCGAGCACTGAGCTCCAGAGCTCACTGATGGATGAAACCTTCTCACTGTATCTGCAGACACGAACGGCGTTCACCAAAACTCCCCGCCCTGCATCACGTAAATGGCCGTCCCAACTGTCTATCACAAATCTGGGCTTCCTTCCTCAGTCACATGAGTCTGAAGCAGACTCTCAGGACCTTCCCTCAAACCACTGACACAGCCTAAATAACAACTGTCAGACAGACACACAGAAGAGCAGTGAACCTGAACCGAAGTGTGTCATTGACTCTTTGTGACCCAGCATTTACAGCTATTCTAATTTCTGAAACTGTTTTGTCTCACTGACACAGACAAACCAATGCTCCCTGTGTGAAGTGCCACCAAGGCTAAAGCATCTCTGTGTGGCTCCGCATTTCCTACATAGCAAGTTTGTGAAACAGGTAATCTGCAGTGATATCAATGCTGAGTCTAGTACTTCTAAAAATACTACATATGCACTTGTGGTACAGTAAATTACTCCTTCGAAAGTGGTAGAATGTATTTTTGAAACTCCTGGTTGGGTGTGGAAGAGCCGTTTCCAACTCTAAGTCATCTAATGGAGCATCACTCTCAGCTCCAGTAGAAGATCTTTCTCTTCCATTTCTGCTTCTTGTTCCAGACCACTGATTCGTGCACATTCACCATCTCTTACTCTACTTTTGATCCTGGTTTGTTTCACTTATTTGGCTCAAGTAGATGAAGCAGACTGAAGTCAGTCCAGGTTTATTGGCGGTTAGGTCAGAGTGGAGCCAAATCTCGATCAGAGCACAACCTGATGCTGAGTGTGTGTGTGTGTGTGTGTGTGTGTGTGTGTGTGTGTGTGTGTTAAGCAAGCAGCTCAGCCTTGCTCACTAACCTTCTATAAAACTGACTCATACATATGAAGGGCACAGTGTTTTCCACTCCTGTGTTGAGAGGAAAAGTAAATGACAGAGAGGGGTCTGATGTCAGAGCCCGACTCAGAGAACAGACCGGGCCATTCAAAGCACAGGCTAACTTTGGGTTCCCAGCAGACCCAGCGACTCGTACATCTCAACCTCCCCCTGTTCATCTGCCATTAAAACCCATTTAACACCAAACTTTTTTTTTCTGGAATAAGACAGCCAAACTTATGGCTGGTTACAAGCCAAAGCCTGCTGGCCAAGGAAACAAGCTTAGCAGCCACAGCAAATTCTACTGTTATCTTGTTGTCAACTGGTTTTATCGTCACATTATTGATGTTTAAGCAGATCTAGTAGACACTTATTGCTAAAGGAGAGTGAAGGCATGGCAGCCACCCTTATATGATATACAGATATAAAGATGCTGGGAAGTTTTTATGATCCATCAATTTGGCAGTTTTGATTAATTGTTTAAAAACACCAGCCCCAAATGGCTGCCACAGATTCCTATAACTTTTCTGAAAGCTAAGACAAGCTGTAAATCCTGACATCCAAAAAGGCAAACGTAATGTTCGGCAGTTTTTCTTTACTTAAAGCTGCATTAACTAGGATTTAGCACAAATTCAGGTAAATCAAGTAAAACATTGTCTAGAAGTGTTGTCTCCTTGCTGCACTAACCCTCGCACCCCCCCCACCCCACTCTGCTTTCTTCAGGCCCTGTGTTTATTTCTACCCATCTCTTGCCAGTGTTGCTAAAATCCGCACCGCACTTCTTCCATGCCCCCGCTGATCCCAGGATATAGGACACGTCTTTTAAACCAGTATGGCTCATTTCAAAGACGGATCGAGGACGCTCCCTGTGTAAGTACAATCCAGGATGGGAACAGACCTGTTAGCCCCAAGAGGCCTAAACATTTTTGAACCAGTGCATGCTTGGTTTTACTGCTTAAGTAAATGATGTATCTGTCTATCGACTAATTGTTGAATGCAACATGCACATGATGCCTTTTTGATGGCCTCCTCTACAAAGGTCAGGGTCAGCTACACAGCAGAACCCCGAGAGCTGTCACAAACTGTGACGTTTCATCTGTGTCCATCTGTCGACACAGGGTTCACATCTGTCCCATCAGGTCTAAAGACACCACATTTGACCACTTGGTGAAGCGTCTAAATCACCAAGAAGACAGAGTGTGAAAAAAAAAATCTGTCAACATGGAGATATCCAAATGAAACAAGAGTGGTTCAAATAGACTGCAGTCAAATATGGATTGAAAAAGGAAATTCAACAACAGCACTTGTCACCATCTCACACACACACACACCCCGTCACGTTCTCTAGACTCCACCCCAACCAGTACTGAAGCTGAACACACCAGCAGTCGGAGTAGGGGGGATGGGTGACTCACCTCCTTCTACACACACACACACACACACACACACACACACACACACACACACACACACACACACACATAATTGTTTCTGCTTCCCATATGTAATCCTAAAAATACAGCAGCAACACACATTAACCTCGCTGCGCCCCCTGAACAGCAGTGCCATCACTGGCTCTGTGCACCTCCACTAAGGGCCTCTACACCTCCACTAAGGGCCTCTACACCCCCACTAAGGGCCTCTGCACCCCCCAAACGTTCCTGATGCTAAAAGGAAGGATGATGCTACATTGTCCGGATGCGGCGCTCATCGCTGAATCTCAGCGGCGCCCAGCTTCGGCTCTCATCGCAAAAAACGGCCAAACACCAGAGACAAGCACCAACACTAATGTAAACGTCTAACCAATGGCGATATAGATGCACGGGTTTGAGCTAAAGGCAAACATCATGGTTCGAGCGCGTCTCCATGATGGCTGGCACCGCCTTTGCATCATCCCAGCCCCCTTAGCGTCCAGTGGAAGATGATGTCAAGCATGGAGGCCCGGGAAAGGAAGAGCCCTTATTTTGGTCAGCAAACACGGTGCCAAAAGACATACCAATAATAATTAACCTAGTTTTACTGAATGTATGTGTATGAAAAGGACGACAGTGTAGAGAAAAGCGAGGCGCCTCCGTCTCATCGGGTAATGCTGTATTTTTGTCAGCCGTACCAATTTCAGCGCTAACATCTATATTTAAACACCTAAAAGCATCACACTGCGTGTCAGACCAGCATGTTTTGAGTTTTTCATTCATTTAAAGCCGCCACCACCAAAGAGACGTTTCGTTATCTCCGTGGCGAAAACCAAACAGTCGGAGAATGGCCTGAAATTTGAAGGTATTTTGGAGGACGGTGAACTTGAGACTAGGACGTTAATTTAACCGAAAAGCTAGCGCCCACTTATATACATATAAATATGCACCAGTTTTACCTTAGTATAGAGCTCCGAGGCTGCCATGACGTCCTCTCTCCGGTCCGCGGTAACGTTAAAACTCCGACTGGAGCCCGCACTGCATCGGGCTGACTCCGTGTTTCATGCAGCGGAGGAAGAAATCCTGTGGTGCTGCAGGGACTCAGGACGAAGATGCACCACTTATCGCCATGGTAAGCTGAAGACTGCTACGGTTTCGGTGTCTCACTTTGCATTCTGGGTATGATTGGACGAAATGATTCAGCCAAACACAAATCGCTGCCGCCGTCTGGAAACCTGCGCCCTCCTGTGGTCAAGAGTTGACAATACACAAACAAATGCTCTTGTTCTTAGGCCAGTGCAGCTCTTGCGATATCCAAAACAGAAAAGTCAGCGCCATGTCCCTTTTCCCTTTAGCTATATGGATTCGGTATAAATCACATAGAGTAGAATATAGCCTACAGTATTTCAGGGGACTGTTTTTCATAGCTGAATAATACAGTTGCAAACACAGGCCTCTATTAAATAAATAAAGCCTTAAATTTAAAGGATCTTTGGAATTGACCTTTTTTTCTATTCATTGGAGTTTGTGTTTGCCCATATTGAAATTTTATTTAGAATGTGTATATGACTGGATTGTTAAATTGATTAAATGCATTGTCACTGGTACTTTCTGGTATAAAACAAGGAAAAAAAGAAAATGTCATTGGGGACATTAGCTTTCATTCACTTTTAGGAAAAGAGGCAATACTCTGTAGAAATGACAAAACCTAGTTATTTACTATGGTAAAAATCTTCTAGTGCAATGCAACTACAATATTGTTGCTGAAAGTACCTTTGTTGAGACTGTCAACGAGGTGATTCAACTAATTTTGGTTCTATTTTAAATCAAAATGTAAAAGTACTACATTCTTTATCAGAGTGTAGTGCTGCATTGGATCTGACCTTTTGTTGACAGCTACATTAATTATTCCCACAAAGCTGGTCAACTTACTACATAAAGAAGTGGAATAAAAAATAAAAAAAAATCACTTTTCTTGCACCTTAAATAAAATATATGCCCTAAACATCAAAATCCAGGTAATACATATGACATAGCAAACATTTGTGCAAAACTATTTTATTTACAAAACAAAATGGCACAAAGTGACAGCAGGGCAGCCATATACATGCACAGCTCAGATGGGTGTAGCTCTGCCTTACATTTACCACTTCAGAGGTAAAGTTCATCCAGTCAGGAAGGACCCTGGAAAAGCACTATACACGGCCGAGGACAAGATAAAGATAAAACTAATTTCACTTATGATTAAAGATTTTCCCCACATCTGCACACAATTAATAACACCATTTGTTCCCAGTGATGAGCTGCTCACAGTTTTTTTTTTTAAACAATCATTTGATACTCAAGCAGTGTTTTGGGCACAGAAACTGATGCCGACTGAAAGAAATTTAAATTTGAGGTCCCGTAAACTTCTCTACCCCACTTCTATGCCTCAGAAACCCTAAACTTTGACCTATGTGTCATCATCTGAGCCTGACACTCACGACCCACCACAAATACAACACAAACGTTCTACATTACAGTTCAGACTGAAGCAGCAACAGCATCTCCTGCTCTTTCACTCCTGATAGACGTTCCTGCTTTCAACATGTCTTGAATTAACTATTTAAAAGCACCTGGGACTTTCAGCATCTATTTAAATCCCTGTTCAGTGCACGTTAATGAATTAAAATAGAGCTTGGTGAGATTTGCCTTCAGGAGCCCTGCATCACACACATGCAGTTCCCCATGACACTCTAGCCTCCACTTTGTGGTGCTTTAGCATGGCTTCCCCCCATGTGTCAAAGTGTTAATAAAACTGAGCTTGGCATGTGGATTAATATATTCAGTCAATCCCCCAAACACAGACAGTATAATTTAGAACAAGGACATACAGTGGATAATACAAATCTGATGTAAAATGTTTTAAAAGGCTGACATCTGCCCCTGTGTGAAACCAAAGCAAATACATATATATACATACACACATTTCCAAAGTGAGGGATCTCGATAACCTGACTAAAGCTCTCTAACCATACAAGTAGCTTCTGCTGCTTGCCCCTTTCTTAAGCCTGTAAACATGTGATATCAGATGTACAGAGGAGTCTGCTCAGCACACTCACACTGGAACATCCTGACCTTCATTGTTTCTTACATGGAAGTAAAGAAAACATAAAAAGAAACCTGAAGTAGGAGGACAGTGGCAGAAGGGCAGTCAGCCTGGGGAAGTAGGGAGGAACAGAAACATAGAGAGGAGGCAGCAGAGGCAACTGAGCTTATCAGCCAGACAGTTCACTGGGTGTAGGTGTGGGCTCTGGTGAGTGGAGTTCAGGCTGCTCCAGAGGGGGTGAAAGCTGGGAACAGGTGGTACTGTGAGGAGTTATGTTACAGCTCTGAGACTTGAGTGGAGAAGAGTAGGGTTGGGAGGTGCCGCAGTGGCTCTCAAGGCTGGGTGTGCATCACCCTGCCAGTTTACTGGCCACCAAAGACGGTTTCCTCTGAGGCAGGTCCTGGGGGGTGGGGATGTGATCACCTGTGATCTCAGTCTTCTCTGGTGCAGCTGTTGGCAGCTGTTTGTTCTTTGTCTTTGCTTTAGCCATGTTGTAGTCGCCCGAGTCAAAGTACTTTTGCTGTAGAGAAAGAAAATAATAATAAAAATAAAAAAAATTAGATAAACACACAACTTAACCTAGAGTAACACATCCTTCCAAAATAATGAACATTTAATCACTGAAACAAGAAATCAACTATATCCTCATTCATTCATTTTCTACCGTTTGTTCCCTGAGCAGGGTCACGAGGGGGGGGAATCCCGGCCGGCAATCGGGCGAAGGCGGGGTACACCCTGGACAGGTCGCCAATTCATCGCAGGGCTAACACATAGACGAACAACCACACACACGCACATGCACTCCAATGGGCAATTTAGAGACACCAATCAACCTAAGCTGCATGTCTTTGGGGGCCCGAACCTGGAACCTTCTCGCTGTGAGGCAACGGCGCTAACCACTGTGCCACCACTGTACCAACTATATAATATATATATATACACACATTAAATTCAGGTTTGCTGAGATTGCCAGAACAGTAGTTATTTTAAGGCCATTTGTGGAGACCTGCCCAGTTTACTTCAATTAGACGGTAAAGAGACCCAATGCCACAACGTATGAATATGTTTTTAAGGTACGGTACCCTGTAGCATTGGTGACGTAGCAGCACTACACAGCAATGATTTTATGAGTCAGTGCGCACTTTCTTTTTGTTTGTGCACACACACAAGCATTCAGGCTTTGTTTAAAGCCTATCAGTTTGATTTTCTATATATAACATGAAAAGTATTAAATTATCTTTAAATTAAAATTATTTTAATTAGTCAGGTAAAGGTTCTGGGTTCGGGCCCCGCCCGGGACCTTTCTGTGTAGAGTTTGCATGTTCTCCCTGTGATGGATTGGCGACCTGTCCAGGGTGTACCCCGCTTTCGCCTGATTGCCGGCCGGGATTGGCTCCCCCCTCCCGTGACTAAGCGGTAGAAACTGACTGACCTAACATTTGTCAGGCACAACTTATAAAACCGCACACCTAGTCTGATAAAGTTGAAAATATTCAGTTCAATTTGTGTGAACTGATAAAAGTAAACCACCAAGCTGCTTTTGTAAAGCTGTAACTCATGTTATGTACTGTACGCAAATCAAAAATTAATCAGCTTATCACTTTAGTACCTTTGAGTGTAAAGAAAAATTTAATTTGTTCATTAGGTTTGCAATTAATTTAGATTTATTCATAATAATACCAAGTGTCCACTATTTATCTGTTTATGTTCTAAACATTACAGAATCACAATTTTGTAGTATATTATGGTAAATTATAAAGTGTTATAAATTGTCAAGTTCTATGATGTTTCCCTAGTCAAAACGAACACGGTCTAAAACAACATGAATGCAATAAATCCTACAGTCAAACATTATAAAACTCAGGTTTTGCTGAAACAGTTGTTAGGAGATGATTAAACTTTATGGTTTTTGGAGACAGCAGATTGTGGTACTGTGTTTTATTAAGAGATGTCTCAATATGCCTGTTCTCAGTAATATAAATTACATCATCTGGAAAACTTACTAGGTAAACTTTGCTAGCCAAAAACAGCAGTGTGTACAAAGCTTCTCTGTAAGTGAACCCTGAATGTTTTGCAGACAAACACTAGGGACAGCTCACCCCCTTCTGGAGGCGTTTACGAAGCAGATCAGAGCCTCCGGGTTTGTTTCCTAAATTTGGGTATCTGGCTTTCAGTTTAGCCTCCTCGGTCTTCTCGGGACTGATCATCTTGTCCTGAACCTCCTGAAATAAGCAGAGATATAAGGCACTAAGATGAGAGGAAGACTTCGTGCTCAAAAACAACATACTGCACAACAAAATAATATATTCACCAGGTGCCTCCAGGGACCCACTGAAATATGTCAGCCACAGACACTGCAGTATAAACATAATCTGACTGCCCAAACAGATTTTATTAGACCACGTAAGCGTTTACTACAGATTATGATTCCTGAACAAGTCATCTGCAACAATGGTTAATTAGCCCTTTTAACCAAATGCTTAAAACAACATTCGCAAGGGCTTTTAAATGCTCTTCTGTCTTTATAGAGTTCAACATTCAAACCACTGTTAGTGCTGTATATCAACATTAACAGCTCCCTCACGCACACACTAAAATGTGTAGGTTTAATCTGCGGTTAGGATTAACACTAAAAGCTATATATGCTTCAAAAACGTCTGCCATGTAACGTTAAAGCTAGTTTATGTTATTAATAGCTAGGACGGTTAGCTAGGTAGCAATGTAGCAGCACCCCAAAAATGTGACATCTAAGGGGAACTGAAGATACGGCTACTGTAGGCAACAAGCAAGTGTGCATAAATACGTTGTGTTCAGCCAAGATAACGTTAGCAGATGAGCTAGCGTTAGCTCTTAGCGATTATATGGCAGTGTGTAGGTTAAATGTCATGTCAGTTAGCTTGGCGGGCTATTAACATTAGCTAGCAGTACCTCATTCACACCATCCAAAAAATTGCCCTATTAGCAACCGAAATGGCAGGCCAGCTGACCGGTAGAACAATGTTGGCACAAAGTCTGAAAAACAAACTATTCTAACCAAGTGACTTTGGTTGATATGTCAAGAATAATGAGTGTTGGGCGAAGAAGCTAAGCTAACATTAGTAACAAGCCATTAGCTATGTCAAAGTCAATCATGCCGATGCTGCAATTGAAAAACTGCAGTTACCGTCTCATCAACTGATATTTCCTCCGCCGTCTGTGTTTCTTCGTTATCCCCCGACATTTTTTTTTAAAGAACCGTGATCTCCGACAAGATACTACTCGGTCACTTAAACAAGAGATCCACAAACGCCCTGCTCTGACTTTGACTAAACCATACAAGGGATGCCGCGCGCTAACTCCCGCACAGGCAATACTACGTCATATGCGGAGACACCATGCGCGCCCACGTTAAGGCATTGCTACCATGCACGCGCCCACAGTGCTGTGATCGGATTTATATTGTGTAAAATACAGATCAGCTGTTTGACCCGTGTGCTGTAACACCAATTCAGGTTTTAGTCAAATAATCCTCCGATCTGGAAAATGATGCACTGATTAGCGCAGGTGAGGTTCTGGTAATTTTTCCGTTCTTTTTTCATACAAATAGTTTTTTTTTTACGTTTTGTGGTTGCTTTGCTCATATTGTGCTGAATTACGCCACCGAGCAGCAATGTTTACATGCATACTGTAACAAGCACTTCAGGCACGACAGACACACACCCTGAATGTCGCCATGCAAACAATAAAAGATGTAAACAAATGTGGTGACACACTATGCATTTAAAAGCCCAGTGGCCGCCATGTTACAACCGCTGTTAGTCTGAAGTAAACTGCTGCTGACTTCAAGCTGCACCCCACAATATTCAAATTCATTAAATATGTCGGGGTTGTGCTGCACAAGATCACGGTTTACAGTTGTGCAATGCGCATACTAAAAACTCTTTTGGTGGACACAGTTTTGGTTTAAGGTAATTCAAGCATTTTTTTTTTTTTTTTTTTTACATTTTGCCTCATTATTTTGGTGGTGTTTATTAAACTATATGTGTTTATCATAACCAAAAATAAGAGCAGCCCATGCTTAGCTCAGATGTACCAGTCCAAAGATACCTGGTGCATGATTTTTCTGTGTTTGTTCAAGCTTGTGAAAATGATGTAAAACCTGAAACTCTTAATGATCACCCCTGTTAGCACCATTAAAAATTAAAAAGCCTTGGTAAATTCTATTCTCCACCTGCTGTCAGTTTTCAGTCTTGTCTGAGTTTCTAAGCTTTATGATAAAAATGGAATAGGCAAGTCAGCTATTTGTAGATTTGTAACTCAAAGAATTAATCCAGAACGATTTTAGTATATTACATTTATAAAGTATACTGGAATTTTAAGTGCATGTACTTGTGATGGTGTTTTGAAGTAATAAAATAATTCAATTTCCATTTTACTAGGTACACCTAGCTAAAAACTATCATCATTTGTTACCCCACGTTATTCTTGCACAATATAGTGGCCCAACAAGCAGTGTTGTAGTCGAGTCACTAATCCTCAAGTTTTAGTCAAAGAGTAGCCTGAGTCGAATCTGAGCGAGGTCCCAGGAACCTGATCCAAAGTCATCATGTTCTACATTAAACACAACTGACACAGCTCTCAGCTTTTTTAAAGTTTACTTTCTGTGTGTGACACAATAGCTAAACAAATGCACTCATACAGTAAGTGCGCACACACATACACACACTTAGAAGTGAACAGTGTGAATATCAGTGTCAATATCTTACGCCAAATTATTATGGCCTATTACAAAAAACAAACAAGTATGAGTCTGAGTCTCCAACTTCCGAGTCTGAATGCAGTCTGTGTTCGAGTCTGAGTCATTAGTGCTGAAATCCAATTGGAGTCACAAGTCTTGAAAATCAGGACTTAAGTCGGATTTGAGTACTACAACGGTGACAACACGAAACATGATGAAAACAAAAAAAACTCAGAGACAGCAGATTTCAAGATTGCTTTAGAAGATATATAGATATATTTTCTCAGATTTGAATATTAATGTCAAAAATACATACTATGATATACAGTTTGCACTACATCTTAGCATGACAGATGTCACAGGTAGTAACTGAAATATTAATTTAAATATTAAATAAACTAATGTAAGTAAACTGAAAATGAATGTGTAAACACTAAACTAAGGTTACTCTTCCTATTGCAACACTTCCATTAAAGTGGTTCTGTAACAGTACAAAAGTATTAGAATATTACTATTTTCAGTTTAATTTCCAGTTATAATGAGAAAAAAAATCCACAGTGCACTTTTGATGTTCTGCTGTGATGCTTTCAGTTGAATTGAGCTTGACTGATTGTTCGATTTCTTTACTGGTGCATGGTATGAGTTTTTCTTTTGGACCAGGGGATGACAGTCTGCCACCATGGTTCCTATTCCATATGCACAACCTCTGCTCTGAGCTCAGGAATCGCTGGGTCAAAGTTGAGTTCACCTTCAGTTCAACCAATCAGGCAAGGATTAAAAAACTCTTTTACCATTAAAAAGGTCTTAAGATTACTCGTTATGTCATGTAAAAGTCCAATTAACATTTTGATTTGAGTAAGCAGAGTAAAGTAGCCTGAACTCTTGAAATCATTTCAGAGTCTAACTGCTTCTGTAGACAATCACTGGCCTCTCCTCTCCTGCCAGACGCTGGAGGGACTACACACAACAGCATGAAAAAGAAACATATCAAATCTGGTAAGGCTTTCTTACCCTGGAGAACAGGGTCTGAAGAATTCCCAATAACTATAAACTTTGACCCAACCCCTCCAATTCAAAATCACTGCACATAAAAGAGAACATGGTTCTCCCAGGCTCCTAGCGCTTTGTCAGTTCTGAGTGACAGAAGAGAAGAAAGTTTCAATTCTGGACACAGGCCAGGTGATTCTTGTTGGCTGCTGTCTTTAAACCTCTTCTCTAGTCAAATACTAGCCACAAGCTACCAGGCTGAGTAACAGTCTATCGCTGGCATCGAGATATGACTGAAGCTTCAGTTGTGGCCGGTCCGGTGGCGCAGTCAGGAGTCAGCAGCGGGGAGAGAACGGCGGGTCAATGGGGGACTCTGTGAAGGATTGGAGCTCATAGGCAGCACCGCTGTCTACCTCCATGGATTTCCTGGAAAACAGCAGACGGATGTCTCTATGGAGGTAGATCTTCCCAGACTTGGAGCTCTGGAACCTGTGGGGTCAGGACAGGGAGACAAGAAACAGGAGGGTGAATAAGTGAGGAGAAAAATCATTGCTGCTAGGCAGAGACAAAACCACAGTTCTCTCACCTCAGATGAACGAGGTAGCGCAAGGTGCGCCCCTGGCCCAGGGTGAGGGGCTTCCTGCTGGTCTGATTGTTTGTGTCACGGCGGCCGGGAACAGAGAAGGTCCTCTGGCGTAGAAAGGTCTGATGTCCAGCTGGCATGCCTCGTAGGTCGTACATCACAACAAACATCTTTACCACTGTCTTGTTGGGGTTGAATAAGGTCTGAGTGGTATAATCAGAGAGCATGGGACAATTTAGACAAGTGTCCTGACTTCAGCAGATTTAAACAATCTATAGAGACACAACAGTAATCTTGTATGCTGTGTGTGTACACGTAAAGTAAACGTTTTATTGGGGATATCACCCTAATAATGTAATATAATACATAAAGGAACTACTTATTAAATTCATAAGCATAATCAACAAAAATGACTAAAAGCATGTCCCTGAACATGTATGAGACCTTATCAACTTTCCTCTATGACCATTAGGGGTCCCCCTTTCCTTTGTCACCTGGGATAATCTGTTTTTATTTCTCAGCCATTTGTCCACAGTGATTCAGATATTTTATAAATATTATGCAAGTTATACTTTCTTCACAGGTATAAATATTTTAAGAGCACTTCCACATTTGAAAAAAATAAAAAGCTTCCTCACCACTTGAATGGTTCCTGATGGAGGTACACGGTAGCCCCTTTTCCCCAGGGACTCCAGGTTTATCACACCCTGTGAGAAAACACATGAAACACAGACATAGAAGAGTCATGCACACACATAGAAGGACACAGCTTTCAGCTCAGTCATACAAGTTAGAAAAGAAGAATGAATTACTGACTGAAGGTAGTAACCTCACCATATATGGTGAAGGAGCATTGTCATCGGAAACACTGTAGAAAGACACATCCACAGGTAAGGTCAGGTGACTGGGGCAGAAGGACCCACTAGCTCCAACCTCTGCTGTGAAACCCTCCACTGTCCCTAAAGGCTCCAGGCGGTAGTTCAACACACACTCCTAAAGAAGCAGAGTTCAGTTTGAAACATATCTCCTAGGCCAGATATTTCACTTTTAAGAAGTGCATAATGTCTAATAATTAATGAATTATTTAGGGATGCAAAATGGCATGTGATGATTAGGGGCAAAGACATGATTATGAGTGTGTCTGTGTTTTTATACCTCAAAGTTTCCCAGCAGACTGAGACTGGCAGGTGGAGCACTGGCACTGAACAGCTGCTGGGACTCATCTGTGTAGCCCTCTCTCTTTGGACATATCCTGATGGGTTAAACACACACACACACACACACACACACACACCGCCAACCACTTGATCGACTCGTTTATGATGTGTGAAAGAGCATCTTAAGGTACTTACATGATGAACATTCCTTTGAACAGACCTGTGGCCTAGATGGGACTTTATTTGTGGGTAAACAAAAGCAATATGAGACATCTCAAAATATTTCTTCATCTGTTATCTTAATTCACTGAAGGAAGAGGCAGGAAAAAGTATTTTGTGTACACTGGTCACACTTACAAATCTTTAGTCAATTAGCTTTTAATTGAACAAACAGATTAGACTGAAAAAAGTAAAATAATGTGAGGAAGAATGCAAAAAAATTGCCAGAATTTGTCACATTGCCTGAAATGCACTTCTGACCCTGAAGGCCAAGTTCTTGAAACATCTTTATTAAAAGCAGCACTGAGCTGTACTGTATCTGGTGTGTGTAGGCAGTGCAATGGAGCTCTGTGTATATAAAGCCAAATCAGTTTTGTCTGCCATTTTGAGCTGAATGCATGTGATTCTAGATGTAGCCACAGTACAGCAGAGCTTCAGCAGGTGGCAGCGTGAGAGAAACATTCAGCAGAACAGGAGGGACTTAACCTGACCACTCAGAATGGTATTCTTATTGTCTCTTAACACATGGACCATATCCTGTATCCAAGGCTATGTTAGTTTCTGAGGGTTTGAATGTGGTACATGTCTTATCTAACAGAAACTCTTTATAAAACTGTCAATGAAGTAAAAACAAAAGAGAAAAACTCTAAAAGTAATAATTTTCTTTAAAGACAAAAAAAGCTACCACATATCTGAGTTCTCCCTTCTTTCAGTAAGAGTCAGAGCTGAGATGCCACAAAATGAGTAAAACAAGTAGGCTTTCAAATGATGATAAATACTATGAGTAATTCCATCCAGATGGTACTATAACCAACAGATAATGTGGGAGGCAAATGTAAAACAAAATATTCTTTGTCCTACTGCCCTGACCTTATCCTCATGGACACATTTAGTAGCGGTTCGGTAACTACAGTAGCAGCACAGATCCCATGTGGGAAAAAGTGTACCTTTTCCCAGAGGCCCAAGGCAAACCCTTACAGCCAACCAAGGAGGTGTCCAGGTCAAAGTAGCCTGTTTGATTTTTCCTCTGAGGAACCTGAAGCAGACACACGGGATACGATTAACACAGAGCTGTCACACTATCCCAGGTTAAAGGCTGGAAGATTCCGGTTTCTTCTTTTCTTTTTTTAAAAATGTGCAGCTATCAGGTTGACCATCTTAAGATCACAGGAGAGAAGTTTAATGAGCAGAAGTATACATTTATTTATTAAGATTCAAAATATATGCAAAGATTTACAAAAAGAAACTGATTTCAACAAATTCACGTAACTATATCTTGTGCGGTTTCCATCGATGTGTTTGAGCACATTGTAGTGTTTATATGTGAGTGCGACCAAACAGAAGACAGGAAACCCTGGTAATCTGTCAGTAAGTCAGTAGATGAGTCACCTGCCTTACCCACTTATGTGTGTTTCTGTGTGTACATTCATAGACAGCTCAGCCACCCAACAGCAAGAAAAACAGCTCCACTCTCTTTATCACAAACACTCACATGCTGACTTCTTTAACTGGTGAATACACTGTGAGTAATGCTTCAGATGGAACAAAACAAAGGGTAGTGAATGTGGTGTTATGACAAACGCAACCGCATGGACACTGACAATGACTACTAATCACTGCTAAGTCAGTGTTCGAGTGTGTGAAGGTGTCATTTTAAACAAGTGCACAAAGCAGAATGTGACAATGAGTGCCACTGCGTTTCACTGTGAAGATGTTCTGTCTGTGTGCGCTTCTTACAGGGCTAGAGAGCAGTGGCAGTCCAGTGCAGGGGTGGAAGGCCTTGGTCGCTGTGGCGTCTAATGAGTGACGATTCTGTTTCTTCCAGCTGTTGCAGGGACGCAGAGGGGAGGGGCTGTGAGCACGCTGGAGCACAGAGATGTAGAGAGACTCAGATCAAGTGTGCAAGTAAACCAGAATCATTTGTATTTATTGTATCTATTCTTGTACATCATATGTCATTTTAATTGCCACTCTAGCTCTATATGATGCCAGCAAACACTCTTTACCAATGACCAGTGTGTACAAATGGCCTAAAAATGTTACATCTTTAAAAATGTGTGCTGTAGTTGTTAAATAGCAAAAAGTACCTAACTGCACCTCTAAAACTCTGTAATTAACACATCATAACTCACAGTGCCAGATTACAGCAGTTCAGTAGGACCTCCTGGTGGTGCTTATAGGTGGATTTAGTTATTTTTGGACAGAGTCAGGCTAGCTGCTCCTTTTGTTTCCAAAATGTATGCTAAGCTAAGATAAAAGCTGCTGGCTCTAGCTATATAGTCACAAATACCATAAAGGCATGAGAGCGGTATATAATTCTTGCTAAGAAAGCAAATAAGCGCATTTTCCAAAATTTAAAACTATTATTTGAAGAGTTCAGTAGCTAACTTGGGCCTTCTCTTGACAAAAATGAGAAGTATTTTTAATTAAATGTTTGATTTTCTACTATTTACCAAATTAACATATGTGCAAGTCAACCAAGCCTTCTTTAAGCAGGGATAGGTACAACTGTTGATTAAGAAATGGGCAATCACTGCCCATTAAAATAAGATGGCCCTTACCAATACAGTAGGAGGGGGAGTGATGTCAGGACTGGAGGTGCTGGGGTGTCCAGACTCTGAGTGTGCCTGGTTCTCATCCTGGAGGGCAGAAGCCTGGGCTTGTGCACAGGTCTGCATCTGCATCTGGGACTGAGGCTGAGGCTTGCTCTGGCTCTGGCTTATGTTACAGTTCATGGCTAGGCCGGCATCACTGCAAGTCCAGCTAAAAATCTGGGCATTCCTTGGGCTGTTCTCGAGGACGGGGGAGGCAGAGGGGGTGTCATGGCTGCAGGGTGTCCTGACTCGGAGCTTTTCCTGTGGGGGAGTTCGTAAACACTGACCAGCCTGGGTGTGGGACTGGCCTTTGAATGAGGGTTCTTCAAGTGTAAAGTGAGCACCATTTTGGGCCCGGGGAGAATGGCATTCGGTCCCCAGATCATCTCCGGGCTTGTCTGTGCAAACGGGTGCGTGTGTGGCAGCGCTGTGCACGCTGCTTCTGTAAGCTTCGTGGCTGGGTACTGCTTGTGGGATGTGTGTGGTGTTCGAGTATGTGCGGACAGTGTGCGTGACTGTTGTTGTGTGTGTGTGGTGCAGAGGGCTGCCGCTTCTGCTGTGCCTGGGGGACAGAGAGGGGACAGACAGTCTCTCCTGGATGAGTCTAGTGATGTCTTGTACTGCCTGGGCAATGAGGAAGCTATCTCTCTCTCTTTTCCTGTCTCTCTCATTTTCTCTGTCTCGCTCCTTCTCTGCATTCTTCTCCTCCTGTCTCTCTCTTGTCTCAATCATCTTCAGCTTCCTGCAGGCTGCAGGTTTAGGGGACGAGCTCTCCCGCTTGTTGAAAGAAGTGTCAGTCATGGGTGTGTTGAAGGCGCTGGGCCACACACGTCCAACAGACTCACAGGGTGGTACCTCAGGTTCTTTGGTCTTACTGGCAGTTATGTCATCATGGTTACTGGCCCACATGGCTTTGGGAGGGTTGTCAGAAGTAAAGAGGCCAGGAGGGAGAGGTGGTGCTGATGGGTCACAGAAGTTGAGCCTCTGTGCAATGCGGGCAATAACTTCCTGTCTCTCCTGCAGCAGGGAGCCAATCAGGGGGTTTGTTTCAGTTGCAGTGGTTCTTGGGGAGGGGCAGCAAGGTGGCTCATTCAAGGAAAAATTCTTAAAAGCTCTCAGTGGTTCAGGGATGGCTCCCTTTGACCTTTCATTGCTGTTGGTGCCAGACCCATAGTCCTCTACTTGTGTGGGGTCAGGTGAACTATTGAGGGCCGAGTAAAGCCACTTCCCCGCTTTACTTGTGAGAAGTTGAGATGGGGAGTGGGAGCGGGAGGGCGTGGGGGAGTGAGAGGATCTGTGGCACAGTGGAGAGCCCTGGCGCTGGGGGATGTTAACCTGGGGAAGCTCTCCATTCTGATATGTGTGGTTTTCATCAGGCTCCTGGCTCTTCTTGCTGTAGGGAGGTGGCACAGCAGTATTGATGGGGATGTTGTTGATAGGAAGATTAGGAATGGGTAATCCATTGAGGAGAAGGCCAGACATGGAGTTGGAGCTTTTGCTGTACATATTAGTGTTGTGAAGGAGGTTGTCTTTGCTGGGGTCCTGGCTTGTTTTGAAGGTGGGCAAGCCACCGTGGCTGGTGAGGTTTGGGTTGAAGCTGGGGGTCTTGCTGTAAAGTGGAGGCAGGCCAGTATGGATGCTGCAGGCTAGGGTGGGGTAGGTAGGCTGTCGGGGGAGCGATTGGACACGAACCTGCAGTGCAACACTCTGGGATACATTGGGGATGGGGAAAATGTGCTCTGAAGGTGGCTGGGAGAACTGCCACACCAACTCCTCATCAGCAGCACTGATCCTGTTTGACAGAAAGATTGAAAAAACATGGCACTGTTACCTCTTAGCATATCTAAGAACTGTCAGAGCCAGACAACAAACAGTCAAGTACTGGGCAGGTTGATGTGGCCGGTGACTGCTCATCAGAAACGTACAGCTCCAGAACCAGGGCAACCTGCAGAAAGGTACAGGGAA